AGTTACAACAAAATCAAAAAATTACATTCATATCATATCGGGAGGGCAAGGACTTATAGGCACCATGTGCGAATTAGATTCATTTCCATTGCTCCGAGGTGAAAGCATGTCTGCATGTCATTGAAGTCAAAGATAATTTTCCCGGCTGGGCTTCCAAATATGCCGGTGGGGAAGCATGCTTGTACGAGGTCTATGCTCGTAAGGAGAACACGCAAATACCAATCATGGAATCTTCTCATTTCAAGTGGTAGGCGCTGGATGTCTCAGTTTGGTAGGAAGGGCTTGCCTCTTTTCATATGTTTTCGGGAAATCCTTTAACCATTTGATGGCATCAACATTTAGATACTTCTTTGCTATTTGGTGGACTTTGCTAGTGACGGCCTCCTCAGAAGCCCGTGTTGGGACTTTTTTAACTTGGTTCTCAGGCTTGAACCGGTCATGGGCATACCACTTGTGCACCGACGAGATGTCTTTCATCAGAACATAAATTGGCCTTATGGTGATTGGATACTTCTTTCGACGTTCCCATTCAGGTATGTCCTCATCTTCTTGTGCATCACCTTCTTCAAGAGGCACTTGTTGTTCATGTATCGGCTGCGCTTGTTGAGAAGACGGTGGCATCTCATCATGCACTTGCTCGGTACGAGCTAGAGAAGATTGTGGCTCATCAGGCACATGCTTGCTAGGAGGCGGGGAAGAATGTGGCATCTCAAGAATGTGGTGGTCATGAGACGGTGAAAATATCTCCCCATCCTCAACAACTTGCTCCAAATTTGAGAGAGGGGGAGGCGACGAAGAAGCAGTCAATATAATGTCCCATTTGTACTAGAGGATAAACTGCCCCATTATGTCTCCGAGTAACACCAGCCTCTCGGTAGTTGCGTAGTCTATCCTCCACTGTATGAACTCAGGCTTCACGGTATGCACCTCAACCCTAGTGTAGTCCGGCGGTATCTTATTATTGTGGTGTAAGCCATTGGGAGGATATGCCACACCCGTTGCCACCTCCATCTCAATGTTCTGCTGGCCGCTGAGAAACACCAAGGTGCAACTAGTTGGTTCCCGTATGTGATCGATGGGGGTTGTGGCTGTAGTGAAACCTTGGCTGCTAGGAACTTTCGGAGGGCTGCCAACTAATGCTAGTTCTCTCGGCGGCGCCATTAATGTTCGTGGCTCCATAGACAGTCCTTGCTCCTCCAGCGTCTTTGCAACTAGAGCCTTCACTTGAAGCATTTTTTTACCAGTTCTTGCTTAACCTCTGGAAATCTAAAATTGAGCTTCAGCTGCTTATCCCATAGTTCATCCTTTTTCTTCTCTGGTGCCTCTTTCTAGTTAGGGATTCCTGGGTTCAATTTATCTCTTACTAGGGCCCCGATCGCATTACAGAATCGTCCTCTGAGTTCCTTTGGCTCAAGGATCTCCTCTGCTGGCCCGACCTCCGTTATCACATAGCATGCCTTATCAGGATATTGATTTGCTTTTCTATCCCCTCGTTTCCTCTTTGGCTTGGTAGTCGTGTTCGTGGTTGTGTCTTGAGGTTGTGGAGTAGAGGCCTCAATGTACGTCTCTGTGGCTGTTGCCTCTGCTCTCCTTTCCTCTACTACGCCTTGTCCGGCGAGATGTCGTGGACATCGACGTCGTCTTTTCTGAGTTTTAGGAGGGACCTGTATATACGACAGGTCAAAGTGTTAGCAGAGGTAACACAGCCAAAGCTTTAGCAAAATTTACAAGTTAAGGCTTTATCCCTACCTCCTCGTTCGGGTCAAAGATTTATCCCTACCTCCTCATTCGGGTCAAAATCCTTATCTAAATCTTCCTTCATTGGCCTCCTTCTAGCTTCACGTGGAAAAGGATCCTCGAGACTTACATATCCCTCTTCTGAGTCCTCCTCATCATCATCCTTTTCTTCTTCGCCTTCAGCAGCCTCTCCTGCTCTTTCTTCTGCTCCCCCTTCCTTCTCGTCACACTGCTCCTGAGTAAGCATCACTTTTAGATTATTTTCTAACTCGTTATCGAACTGCTCCTGAGTAAGCTGGTCCTCTAGTGCTTGCTCCTCATAGGTTGGCTGCTCATCATGCTCGGGGCATCGGGCTGCACTATCTAGTGTCCGTGATATTATTTCGCGCTTTGTTCTAATAGATGCAAGAAAGTGTGCTTTAGGTACGTAAGAAGGTATAAGAAATCAAAAAGGTTTATAAACCAAAGCAGTCCTATAAAACAACAATATATCCAAAAAAATGAGTAGTAGGAGTAGTAGAGGCCTCAGAAACATGTCAATCATCATTTGATCATGAACTTGGAGCATCAAGGCACCATAACAGAGAAGAGAGGAGAAGATAATGTAGGGGCAGCTAGTAATGATGCCAAGTTTCTCATAAATTCTTGATCATCAGCTCATATTCCATATCATGTATGGACTTGGATAATTTCATCATCGGCAAAACAAAGGAGAGAAGAGGAGAGGGGAGATTTATTAAAAAAAAGCAACAGCTGCTTAGCAAACATAGAGCAGCAGCTGATGGCAAAAATAGTAAAAAAACAGCTGCATTGGTCTCATTATTAGCAGAAAATCGATGAACTTTTAGGTTTCCGAGCTGCTGAAATAAACGTTTGTATCCCTTGGTCCTTGCAATTGAAAAAGAAAAGACATGGAAGGATCATTTGTTATAGTTTATGGTCTGATGAACTCTTGCCCAGTAGAATGATTGTAATTATTCTTTTAAAATTTTTATACTTCTTTTCATTTTAACATTGTAAATTTGTTATGCTCAGATGATAGTAAATTGGCAATAGCACTTGAGGTCTAGTCAATCCAACTGAAAGTGCCTCCATTCACGACACTACAAGACTATAGTAAGATCATGTGTGTACATTTATTATATTAAGTAACAGGCACTCCGGTAACCCCGGCCGGTCGTTCCTACCTTTTCCATTCTTCTATGCATGTGTTTCCTTTCCAATTTCTTTTTTCCTACGAAACTGAGAGTCTGCAATGAACAGTGAGCAAAGCTTGAGTGGTCAGGTCCTACCATGTGTGTACATGCAGCTCCAAGAAGCACGGTCACATGCATGCTAGCCGGGCTCTCAAACCTACGGGCTACACCTGCTCTCTATTGTCTTGGGAATGGCCCGTTCATTTTTGCTGGCTGGCAGGCTAGTTGCACTATACCACAACCAATCTGTAGCGTCAGACAACGGTAGCTAAAACATAATATTAACATCCAACCATCGGTCGGTATAAATTTGTAACAAATCATCGGTCACTATTTTTACATGTATCGACGGAACATCGGTCGCTACATATATTTAGCCTGTTACGTCAAACAATTGATCGCTAAAGCAAATGCTAGAATCAAACGATGGGTGGCTATAGCCTATTTTCAATTTTTGGCACGCTCAGCCCAGCCCAGCCACTCGCGCGCACTAAAATTAGCGCGGCCCACCAGTCAGTGCCACCCAAAACCCTATCTCTAGCACTATTACCCACCCAGCAGCCGCATCTCACCCAGCAGCCGCCAGCCGCACACATCGTCTCGCACAGCAGCGTGCATCTCGTCCGGGCTGCCGCTGCCGCCGCTGTCCCCGCCGGCGCTCGCGAGCTCCGTCCGTGCCACCCGCATCTCACCTCTTCACCAGCGCTGCCCGCGAGCTCGCCGTCCCCACCATCGCAGCTACCGTCCCCTCTGTCGTGGCCGCCGTCAAGCCATCGCGGCCGTCGTCCAGGCCACCGTCCCCGCTGCACGCTCGCCGGTATCGCCGTACTCACTCGAGCCTCCGCAGCCGTCGTCCCCACCCGGCCCGTCGTCGCAGCCACCGTCCCCTTTGAGCGTCCCTGAGCAGGTACTGGTTCCCTTCCTTCCCGTCCGCTGCTCCCTTCCCCTCCTATCCCCTCTCGGCATTGGTCCCTTTCCCAGGCTTCCTTGGATGCACGCACAGCAGGTTAGCATGGATGCGTTACTTGTTTTTTTAGACTAGATGGAACCCTGTGTGAACAATGTCGCCTGCATTTGATTGCACATATATACTGTGTAAAAAAATAGCATGGTCAGTGATTTTTGTGTGGCTTGAATGGAAGTATGCAATTTATCCCCATGCATGGTCGACTTATTATTTCGAATGCATCAAGGCTAGTATCTTGCTAATTAGAACATGTTTAATTTTCACCTATTTGCTTGATGAAGAAAGCATGATGCTTGTCCTTACAGAAATAAACAATTTTGGATTTTGTTTCTTATCAATTAATCAAACCAGCTAAACCAAAAAGAATAAAAATTGTAATACTGTTATACACAGCTTGTTTAAAGGAAACTGAGGCCAAGCAACCAAACATTAATCTGTTCCTCTCACCCACACATCAATATGAGCTACCATTCCAAGAGATGATGACTGTGCACCCTGAAACAATAAGCATTAGCGAAGAATGATTCTACCTGCTCAAATTCATACTCGGGTCCCATGTTTTATGCAGATGAAAGCTTCTAGTTGCAAATGCTTATAGGTGTGTGGATAGAACTGTTAGCATAAACCCATTTACTGCAGCATAGCCACCAGCCATTTATGCAATTCTTAGTTGGAAGAGATATAGACTTGTTTGAAGTAATAAACTGAGCTCAGGCAAGCAGGAACTAAATGATTCATCTAACCTCTAATTGATAAAGAGTGACTTATAAATTGAAGTTGGGAGACTCAGAGAGACTGCAGTCTAGAGACTTATATACTATGTCGTGTACCAATTTTCTCTGAACTTGTTGGTATATACCAGCCAAGTCTGACCTCACCATATTGTAATTGCAGCTACTCCACATGTAGTTGGACACCTTGGGAAGGCATTTGAACGTGCTCTTGGCAACAGCTCTACTTGTTTGTATCGGTAGGTTTCTGTTTCCCTAGCTGTTGATCTCTTTTTTTCATGTTGTGGAAGTATGCGACTATTTCAGTGCTTATGATATGTTTTTTATTTCATATTGAAATCTGGTTGATGTCTTGCGTGAAGGTTGAACATGGATAAAACATGGATTGATGATAATGCTAGGTAAAAACCAATTACTTTACAAATATTGAAAGTTATATATACATGTCAAATGGTATTTAACCTAAAACTTTCACATAGGCATACAAAGACATATTTGCAAGGAGTGAATGGTTTCTTAGCTTTTGCTTTTAGTAATTCTGCAGTAGGGGCAGCAAGATATTATGCCCTTGTAGAAAGTGTGTAAACTCATTTTGGAAAGAGGCAAGTGAAGTCCCAGAGCACTTGATATGTGATGGGTTTCTAAAAGGGTATAGAACATGGAACTTACATGGAGAAGCTAGCTCTTCTGTGAATTATGGGAATTGTGATGCTACTGAGGTCATAGAGGATTCTAGTGAGAATGATGAAATATATGATTTGCTTAGAGACTTAGCCGCCGGTCTAGATGATAGAGGAGATTTTGAAGACAATAGTTCAACTTTGGAGACTTGTCCTGAACTAGTTGCCCTTCAAAAGTTAGTACCAGAAAATAGCAAAGAGCTATACCCAAATTGCAAGAAATATACACAACTAAGGTTCCTAATTAGATTGCTCCACATCAAACTCCTTGGAGGATGGTCTGATAGAAGCTGAACAACGCATAGCTGAACTAGAAGAGCAAATGAAAAAGGCAGGAGGAAAGGCATGCAGAGGAAAGACAAAATTTTATGGAAGTCATGTCACAAAATGGTTCTAATTCATGCCACCATGTGGTATAATACTATAACAATACATCAGCTAGTTATTTTGGACTCTTAATACCCTGTGCAGATTTATCTCATTATTGTTTCCATTTGTTTGTAGAGCCCAAGGTCTACAGAAAATGTTGATGCACATCATCATGATGCTCATTTCGAAGAAGATGAAGATTGTGGAGATAATGAAGACCATGACACATGTCCCGAGGTGGGTGAATATTTGTTTGCATGGAGGCATCTTGCAGCCCATACTATGCAGTTTCATCAACATAGCCCCACTAGTGCAGCCCATACAGTGTAGACCCATGTAACCTCACCCCATCAGTGCACCCCCAACGATACAGCCCCTGTTGCGCAGCACCATGCACCCTTGTCTAGTCACCGCTTCCCCAACAATGCAACCCCTACAGTCCAGCACGATGTAGCACATGAAGAGCAGCCCCATGCAACCTCATCCCGTCAGTGTATCCCCATCAATGTTCTTCCTGCAGTCCAGCCTGATGCAACCCATGAAGTGCAACCCGATGCAGCAAAACAAGCAAAGACAGTGCAACCCCAGGTTGGAATTAATGTGATATTATATGAAGTGGTGAGATCCGATGCACGTGTGGCTCTGGGAACAATTATTTCAACAAATCCTAAAACCATTATTGGAGGTGTAGCTCTTGGAAAGCAATATTGTGAAGTTGTGAATCATGTGCTGAAAAGGGATGCAACTCTGCCTCGCACTTATCCTAGTGTGGAAAAGATGGCTGATGCTCATAGATTGTCGATTACATGGCCATACAATAGAGTAATAAACTATCTTTGTCATCGTTTCTTGTTTTCTCATATATGACAAATGGTCAAACTTATAATTTCTGATATTTGTGACAATTGAAGGTTAAACAACAGGCATCAAAATCGGTTAGGAAGGCATCAAAATCGCCACAAGGTGTTTCAGGTATGTTATTCTTAGGTCACTTATCTTCTCTTGTGACAGTTGAAAGGTTAGCAAATTTCATGATGCTGATTAGAGCCTATACTCTGTTGTTTTTACATTGACTTGCAGCAGGGGGAGAGAGGAGCTAGAACTCAGGTGGGCAGTCGATATGTGATTTCTACCTTTTTCTGTTGAGGTTGGTCAGTGTTCTGTTTTTATCTTTTTCAAGCTTGCATGCAAACTGTTGATTGGTGACTAGTAGGGAAATTGCATGAAACTGACCAAACTGACCACCTGTGTATACCTCAAACACTTGAATCACCAGCACTGAAGGAGTATGACTGTCACAAGATATATAAGTTGAATACACTGTCTTAAGTGCATATACTGCCTTAGTACAACCCATAACTCTCAAACAAGCAACACAATCACATGCCAAATTTAGAATAAAGTTGGACATAACTCCAAGAAATTGTGCCATGACTGATTGCTCGACTTTCTCTAGTGGGATATTAGCAAAATTTACAAGCAATGGTCAAACCCAATTCAGAGATTCTTTGATGCTTGCAACCAAAATTAACTCCACATTTTCCTTATAAGAAGACAGCAGCCACTCAAGCATAAACAACTGATATGCACTCATATTAGTTTAGAGTAGCCATAGATTAAGTTGTGCCATGAGTTAAGTTGCCCGCCTTCAAATCAATCTGTGCATAGGTCCCTTCTAGCTGAAAAGTGTAACTGCTAACCAAGTGCTTGCATAATCTGAGAGCAGCAAGAGCATTATGCATGTACAGTCTAGAAATAACTCTGTAATTTTCTGCAGCTAGTATCTCAGTGAAAAGCCAAATCTGAGAAAAAATTGATAGAAATAGATCAACAGCTTCTTTTCTGTTGCCCTCGTTAGTATGTGCAGCACTTTGAAGAAACTGAAACCACTACAGCTTGTGAGGTGAATGAGATGGATTAAAACCTAGATTGAGATTGTGCCAGGGTGAGGACTCAAGCAGAAATCCATCAGTCAAAAGTGTCTTCTCAGACCATGATCTAGCCAAATCAATAAACTGAAACCATGGAGGCTTTGGCATCTTACTACCTTGCTGAGGCCTGACATTGCTAGTACTGGGTGGATTGCTAGAGGCCATGAACATATCTATGAGGTGAATGTGCAGCACGTCTGTAGCTTTGACATCTTTGTTTGGTTAGCTACAGTGTAATGAAAAACACTTTGTTTGGTTGGCTGGGGTATCGTTTTCCATGCCCTTCAGCGTTCGGTTAGGGACAAGGTGCTTAGTTTTTCTGATCTATGCATGCAAGCTAGTCATCTTTGAATATGAATATAAACTGTGAGGTCATCTTTATTTGTATTTTTTACCTATGTAGATCTCATCATTAACTTCATGTGTGTACTGTGTTGTTGTGTTCAGGTGGAGGGAGGCCTTGGAGGTGTACATGATGCTGGATAATGTCACCAGGAAGCCAACATATGACATTTTGCTTTTGATAAGATGGAGATGAGGCATTTTGTAGTGAATCTAGTTAGATTGTGCAAGCAAACATATGACTTGTGCCTGCCATTTGACCTACCTAGGTTGTATGTGTGCTTTTCCATTTGTAATGATGACATGTCATGGATCAAGATGATAGAACTTGATGTATTGCTAAATGTTGGCTTCAATGAAGACTTGAGAGATACCTTTATCTAATATAATGTGGTTACTATTGTGGGTTGCTATGGATTACATATGTATGTGGTTGATGAATAATGTGATATGTTATGGATGTTTATTAGGTTTGAAATCTAGATAATACGAAATTAATATTATATATAATTGTGCCAGTTCATAGCTACTGATTATTGGTTGCTAAAAAGTTTGATATCCTCGAACCATTGGTCACTAAAACTTGTGACAGATCATCGGACGGTATAAATATTTGTGTCAAACTATCGGTCGCTATAAATCCTGTCGGTCGCTATAGACTCATAGCAACGCCACTTACAATGACTTATACATCGGTCGCTATAACGGCTTATAGCGACTGATTTAGAGTCGCTACAGATTGGCTGTGTTATAGTGTTAATGCAAGCAAGAAACATAACAAGCAAGTAGAGGTGGACTGGTGGAGGCACAAAGATAAAAGGATAACCACCACCCTGAGGGAGGGACACACAGAAATGCCACTCGTCCTCATCTATCTATCACCTCAATTATCACTGCAATTATCTAACAGTTTATTACGCACAACGCAACGATACATTTAGGAGTGACTAAATACATGTAGTGGTTACTATCCATTTTCAATCATGTTGTGCTATCTATGACTATAATAATAGTTTTTCCCACTTTTACTAGAAATCCTAAAGATAAGACAGCTTGGTCAACAAAACACACAAAGAGTTGTTGAGGAGAACTGGAAGCTACGGTCCGATATCCAGGACATGGTGGATGCACTTGATGCAAGAAACAAACAAATTAAGGAGTCAGAACATGACAAAAAGAATCTTGAGCAGGAGAAGCTAAAGGTGGACAATTGCTTTCATCTGAGGCAAAATGTTTTATCAACAATAATTATGTAATAGCACCAATATTACAGCAGCAAATTCATGAGATTCAGCAAATCATCATTGCACAAAAGCCTTTTGCCTCGGTTTTGAAGTCACATTATTCATCTCATGAGCAGATAGGAGAAAGAAAGAAAGATAGAGATGAGCGAGAGAGAGGGAGGAAGGTTCCAGAAAAAAAATTCTTAGTTGGCCCTAGGACTACTAGGTCCTACCCCCAAACTAAAACAAATTAAAAGACAACTAGAAGTAGTAGTAGAAGCAATTTTTGGGAGGTGCTATCAAATTAGTAAAAAACATCACCAACAAAGGGCTTGTGCTCAGTACAAGTAGTAGTAGTAGTATAAAAAACATCACCGATAAAGGGCTCTGAATCAGTTTGGAGGTTTTCTCCTAAAACAATCGTATCCCACATCAGATTATTTATATACTCAAGCCAAAAGAACTAAAAAACATAGCATTTTATGGCCTAAAAAGAGAACTGCAACTTTCTGAACAGATATGGACTTGAGAATTTCATAGCAGCAAGTACATACCTAGATTAACATACAGACCAAGTTTCATAATTTTTCAACAACTACAATAGAAGATATGAAAAAGGGAAAAGTTATAAGCCTAAACAAATTAGTATACTTAGAGAATAGATCTGGGCCTAAGAAAATTACTGCAGAATCTAGATATTCAAGATAGCACACTGTAAAGTTTTCATACTTTTTGGAGCCATGAAACTTCAGTTGCTAGACAAAAAACATATAACTAGTTGGGTTGCTAGACAAGCACAAATGTTTACTGCCTTTACTTTTTATGTTCTCAAACAAGGCCATTGCAGCAAGAACAATAATACTACTGCCACCAACACACCTCACCAAATTGAGTTCACAGCTAATGCAAAGTATCACATTACCAAACGGATGCAAAGTAAAGATTTACATGAGCTAATTAAATAGCTAATCAACCATATTTCTAATAAACAAAGAAAGGATACCATAATGCCTACTGTTTAGCTACAAAAAATAGCAGCTTTGGTTTAACTAGAAAAAGAACTATAATCTTAACAAAATTCTCGATGTTCAAATTAACTGGAACTCAAAGAAGCTAATAATCAACATAGATGACCTCCATTCACACAATTATTTCAGTTTCACCATAAATTCACACAATTATTTCAGTTTAACTAGAAAAAGAACTATAAGTGCATGCTCTATTCTTGCTCAGTAACTCATCACTGCAGGAATTGAGGCGAAGGGGATAAATGTAGGCGAAGGGTTGGGGCATATTAAGGGGTATGGAGGCAGTCAAAGCTCGAGGTCAGAGAGGGAGCACCGGGGGAGGTCGAGGTCGCTGAGGGAGCACCGAGAGAGGTCAGAGCACGTGGGCCGACGACATCGTCGGAGATAGAGGTCGGTGAGGGAGCGCCGGTGGTGGAGCCAGAGCGTACAGCTAGGTTGGGGAGCACAAACCGTAGCCCCCGCGAGGTCGTTAGAGCGTGCGCGTGGGCCGGCGAGGTCGGATCTCTAGGTCAGAGAGGGATCCGCGGCGATGATGAGGATAACAGCCAGAGCACACGATAGGGCCGGGGGAGCACAAACCCTAGCCCTGGCAAGGTCATCAGAGCGCGTGCACGAGCCGGCGAGGTCAGAGGTCAAGGTCTGAGACCGAGCGGCGGCAGGGCAGCCAGCCGTGCAAGCTCCCGCAAACCCTAGCCGTTGTGACGGCCTGAGGAAAGGCGGCGTTTGGGGCATGGAGGAGGCTTGGGTGACGGAGGCGGTTATAGGAGGAAGGCGAAGGTAGGCCACGGAGATGGTGGCGGCGGCAGGGGTGGCGGGAAAATTTTTGGCAGCCCGACGGCATCTGCGAGGAAGACGACGCCCAAGACATGGTGAGATTTTGGCCAGGCGCGGGCACTGGAATATATACCCAGAGTCATTTGTCGGGGCGGCTCTAAAGATCAGCCACCCCTACAAGGGGTGGTTTCTGATTCAGCCGCCCCTACAAATATTTTCGTATATTTTTAAATCTTACTTATGCATATTTTTTTTATAAATGTGTAAATGTATATATAAATGTATAAATATAATAAAAATAATTTGCTATAATTTCCCGTACACATAAAAAATCACTATATATAGATATAGTGATACATTTTATTTTGTGAAATAAAAAAATATATTTCAAAAATTTAAAATTTGAATTTATGAACTTTGATTTGAATTTTAAGACAAAAAATGATCTAAAATGAAAATGTTGTAAACATCAAAGTTGTAGAACTCATCAAGATGTACAACTTATATTTTGGACATTTTTTCATTTGACAAAATTTGAAAAGTTCAAATTTTGAATTTTAATAAATGGCAACTTCAAACAAGATTTTGAAACCTTAAATGATTTCAAATAAGAAAGTCATGAACATAAAATTTGTTGAACACATCACTACCTACAACTTTTATTTTGGTCATCTTTTCATTTGACTAAATTTGAATAGTTCCAATTTTGAATTTTAATAAATAGCAACTTCAAACAAGATTTTGAAACCTTAAATGATTTCAACTAGAAAAGTCATGAACATAAAAGTTGTTGAACTTATCACTATCTATAACTTTTATTTTGATCATTTATTCATGTAATAAAGTGTTAGTAAACATTGTTCACAAATTCACATATCACTCATAGTTTCATAAACTATACGAGAGACATATTGATTTGTGAACAATGTTTACTATCACTTTGTCAGATGAAGAAATGACCAAAATAAAAGTTGTAGATCTTGATGAGTTATACAACTTTGGTATTCATCACTTTTTCAGCTGAAATTATTTGGTATTTCAAAATCTTGTTAGAACTTGTTATTTTTTTAAATTTGAAAATTTAAATTGCTCAAACTTTGTCAAACGAAAAGAATGACCAAATCAATATAGTAACTTAATAGGGCATGATTTTAGAAAATTTTAGAAAAAAATCATTATATTTAGAGTTAGTATGAGGGAGAAAGACTAGTTAAAAATTTTACCCAGAGATTAAAAAGAAAATTACAACTGATCATGATGATTAATGATGAACAAGTGTGATTTCTCTTTTTAATCTGTGGCTGAAACTTGTAACTAGTTTTTCTCCCTCATACTAACTCCAAATGTGATGGTTTTTTTTCCTAAAATTTTCTAAAATCATGCTCTATCATTTTAGTCTGGTCATCTATCTTTGTCACTAATTTTAGATAATTCAAATTTTGAATTTCAGAAAATGACAAGTTCAAACCTGATTTTCAACCACTAAATGATTTCAGCTGTAAAGGTGATGAATATAAAAATTGTATAATTCATCAAGATCTTCAACTTTTATTTTGGTCATTTCTTCATTTCACAAAGTGTTAAGTGCTTGTTTTAAGTGTTTCAATAGTAGTCCGAACATATTGCAGTAGTAATAGGTACATGTTTCAAGTGTGTGCATGTTACAACAGTTTTAGTAGTAATAAAGTGGATGTTACAATAGGTTCATATGAATGTTGCAAATGGTAGTCTCACACACATGCATAAATGTAGTCTCACGCACATACACAAATATATAGTCTCACACACATACATAAATATATAGTCTCACACACATGCATAAATGAAGTCCTACAAACACACACATTTACACAAACACTCCACGTTCAACAACTAGTTAGCCCGCTGTAATGACTTTTCCCTTGACACATTTTCGTTCCTATGGCAACATATTTTTGGACAGGTTATTTTCCACAGCACTGATCTTTTTAGAAAAGTCTGTGAATAGCGGCATCTCATCTTATTGTAAGCTTCAACATCGTCCACGCCATCAACTCTGATAATGTGCTGTTTTCTAGAGGCAACCACGTGCTGTCTTCTTCTTTGGGGGTTACTTTGTGGGTCAGGCATATAGAAAACTTGTGCGACACGTGAAACGAGCACCCAAGGGTCATCTTGGTAGCCTAGATTCTCGAGGTCCAGCACTCTCAATCCGATCTCGTTCAGTTGGTGTTGTTTGATCCAGCGGCATCAAAACAGGGCCACCGTTATATCTCTTCCATAGTCAAGTTCCCATATCTCTTCAATGATGCCAAAGTATTGGATCTTTTGCCCCACTCCATCGAGAGCTTTTATTCGAACGCTGCTGTTTTGGTTCACATATTTACTATCCTTTGCGTGGGTATAGTATGTGTACCCATTGATGTCATAAGCTTTCAAGATGTCACTTGTCTTGATGGCCCCTCCGCCAACCTACTAATGGTAATAGAGTCTATGGTTTCTCCTAGTGGTATGTTTTGGTCCTTCAACCATGTAGTTAGTCGTTGCTTGTGCTGTTTCATGACCCAATCACCAGAACGACTATTTCTCTCCATCATAATGATAGCCAAGTATTCATCAATGTACGGTTGCATTAGTTGTGTACTCTGTAAGACACTATAATGCGCCCGACTCACTGCTTTGTAATCATGGTCGATGAACACTTTTCTACCACTAGTGCCCTGCCTAGTCAGCCTACCCTTGTGATGAGAATCAGGTTTACCAATCCCTTTCTGTACTTTTAGATACTCTTGACAGCATTCGACGACTTTTTTAGTATTGTAACCCTCTATCATGCAGCCCTCTGGGTGTGCTCGATTATGCACATATTGGCTTAGAACCGACATGAACCGCTCGTAGAACCACATTTCATGCAAGTAGCAAGGGCCCAGCGCCTGTATCTGATGAACCATGTGAATCATGAGATGTTGTATTATATCAAAAAATAGGAGGTAAACACATCTCTAGTTGGTTTTGTGTCTCCACCACAAATTCATGTAGGTCACTCAACTCTTTCTTGTCAATCATCTTCTGTGAGATCTTTGAAAAGAAGTAGCACATGCGGGTGATGGCTATTTTCAAGAACTCTGGCTTTATAGCCCTAATTGCAATAGGTAGAAACACTGTCAGCATCACATGACAATCATGAGCCTTGTAGTGTGTTATTGACAAGTCCTTCATTGACACTAACTTCTTCACATTCGCTGAAAACCT